GTTATTGTATTTATTTTTTCCATACTAGTCAATTAAATAAAATATTTCGTTCTTCTGCTAATTAATTTTTTGTCTTTTTTCTTTTTATTTGTTTGCGATCATATATTTCATATCGTATCATATATATTACTTCAATTCGTTTTATTTTCCAACAAATCATATTAGAGCTATTGGTTGGGATTTGTTCGAGGCTTTTGTTATTGATATCAGCCATGGAGTATGAAATTTTGCTATGCATTGCAATACAACATTCCCAATTGTGGCAAATGAAGATGCGAGTTGTACTCGTGCAGATGGATTTAGATGATATATTGTTGGGATTTGACAAATGTCAACAACTTGGACAATGGAGGAGAAACAATGGTAGGATCGAAATGTACTTTCATAGATCCATATAGATCTCTTTAACAATATTCTTCAAGATATTTTGAAGGAGAAAATGACATATGCGTTGTAGTTGAAGTTGAAACAATTGTGCATGATTAAAAGTCTGTAAGCAAATTACATCTGAAGTAGATGTTGTATTCTTATCGAATGGCAGAAGGCGAATATTTGGAAGATCATCTAGATATGTTTAAGAAGATCAACGCTAATTTGGAAACTTTAGAGGTAAAGTATGATAATGAAGATTTGCCTTAATTCTTTTGTGTTTGCTGTCCGCTTCATTTAGAGACACTATCTTGTATTGTCATAATACTCTCACCATTGAAAATGTGTATGATACCTTATTTTAAAAAAGAAGATGAAGCATCTGATTGGATCTGAGGCTAGAGATAGAGAAAGCCTTATTGTTCATGATGGTCGGAGGAGGGGTAAGTCGATTTCAAATTTCAGTAATCGGGTTTGTTATTTTTACAAGAAGAAATAACACATTAAGAGGGATTGTGACAAATTGCAGAATAAAGGTAATTTGATTGCAAATCATGGGAAGCAATCAAATACTTCAGATGATACCAACATGGTCGAGAACTATTTGAGTGACGGAGATATTTTGATGATTTCTAACAGGAATTCGGACAAACGAGGAGCGAATTTTGGATATATCTTGTGCGTTCCATGTGTCGTTGTTATTGGTAACAAAGAACTTTGTCGGGTAGCCGATATTGTGCATTCCATATGTGTCACAATCGGGATTTGTTTGAAAACATATGAAATTGTGATGCAATGTGTCATTGTTATTGGTAACAAAGAACTTTGTCGAGTAGCCAGTATTGGTAGAGTCAGATTGAAATTGGTAAAAAGAACATGTGGAACACTTGGTCACATTCGTACTCCAGACTTGATTTTATTTCGTTGAGTACTCTTGATTCAAAATGGTACACATCCTTTCGAGGATGTGGAGTCTTGAGGGTTCGAAAAGGTATTCGTGTTGTATTGGAAGGGCAGAAGAGGTTCCAATTATACATCTTGCAAGGTCAGGTAGAATTTGTGAAGAAAAGTCGACACGGACTTAGTACCTTAGTGGAGATTAAGTTTGGTACCATACCTTTGAGATTTGATTTGGAGTCCATATTGAAGAATACTACTCGGTCGAGTTTGGAGTACATGTGTAATTTCGCTTTACCACCATTACTGCGATTCCATCTTATTCAACTGCTAGGGATAGACTCATTAGAGATAGGTACGTGGATGCTGATTCGGTTGCACGTGCTTTTAGCATTTTTGAAGGTGTTGAGACTAGCCAGAGCCTTCTATAAAAAGCATTGAGAGTTGATTCTACTACAGTTTATGCTTCGACACTGTTTGCTAATTTTTAATTCTTTGTGAATTTTGGAGAACCCGATATTTATGTTCATGTATATGTATTGGATACTGTAGAAAATGATGAGTATTTTTGTGTTAGAGAAAGATAGTTTTTGTTAAAAAGTTCGAATTTTTCGTTGCAATCATATTTATTTTTTAAGTAGAGAAATTTTTTAGTTTTGTTTGTTGTATTGAAATTTGTGTTAATGTGAAGATTATTGAAATTTTTTTATCCAAATTAGGTTAGATTTTTCAGAAAGTATCTTTTCATGTGTTTTTATTATGAATATTGTTTCATTTATTTTACGTGATTTTTTGATCTTGTTTCCATCTTTATAATATTTCTAGGGTTGACATGCACCCTTATAAATACTATATTATTTTTCCATGTTTTATATTACTGAAATATAGAATAATTGTGTATTATTCTATTTATTTTCTCCATATTAATTAATTGAATAAAATACTCAATTTTTCTGGCAATTAATTCTTTGCCTTTTATCTCGTTGTTTGTTTACGATTATATACTTCATATCATGTCATATATATTATTTCGATTCGTTTTATTTTCCAACAATAGAATGATGTCAAGATAAGGTGCCTCGACCATTAGGATGAGACCATATGTCCCTTCATTCAGCGGTTATTATTTCTCATATTTTATTATAAAAGCTCACACTTACAATATATTTGATTGCAAATATGAGATTTGTATGGAAAGAAAATAAATTTTATGCAATTGAATTGCTTATAACTTAATTGCATGAAAATTATTAATTAAATATATTTGATTGGTTTAATTTTTAATTTAAAAAATATTGTACTTGTCTATCTTTTATTAGTTAGTAGATGAGATAGGGATGGATGAGAGAGAGATAGAGACAGAGACAGAGACAGAGAGAGTTAATTGCTTAGAAAGTAAAAACCCACCATTCTCTAAAAAAAATATTTTATTGTTTTTAAGGAAAATATGGTCACGTAACCAACTTTTGGAACATATTTTTCATTAAAAAAATGTTAATCAAACATTAAAAAAATAGAAATTTTGGTGGAAAAACGACATTTTCACGAAAAATAAAGCCAATAAAAAGTGTCATTTGAAAGTAATGCAATTTAATACACTCAACTATAAGGTCTCTCTCTCTATACACACTCTGGATCCAAACCTGTTTTTGTGGCTCACGCCCTATACCCAAATACAGATTTACATGTAGATTGACTTGACATTTGAAGTACTCGCGACCGCCTCTCCCACTGTCAGAGAAGGTCACGTACTCTAACGGCTTGTTCAAGTGTGTAGGAAGAGGCTACGTAGACGTGAGAGGAGTTGAGATTTGTTAACCATGTCATCCATTCAAATTTTGTGGTCAACAGGGGTTAATTAGTATAATCGGACTTTTAACTATTCTATTAATTGATCTCTACCTCATTATTCATTCTTTCCGTCATTATTAGTTTGTCTATTTTAATTGTTAATTAGGAAAACTTAACTCAAAACAAAACTCTTAAATATGTATTCTTGTTAGGATTATCTTCAATTAAAATGCGATCAATAATCAATCCTCGTGAGATAATGCTCTACTTATTATTATATTATTTGTTTGGGTTTTGTATACTGTAAGGAAAAATTGCAACAAAAACCAAGTGATCTAGTGGAGTATGAGCAGTTTGTCATATCTTACATAAGAATAATATTTATCATAACCATTGGATTTGATTTAATCACATTTGGGATGAGTTCTTAGTGATACATAGAGATGAACTCTTATGAGTAGATGTCACAAGGATACACGTTTGATAGAATTTTACGGATGGACTAGAGGTTTATAACTGTGTCTTCTGAACTCTCGTTGATTATTTGGAATTGTACATTGGCACGGGAGTGTTTTATTATCTAGATAGTAAGGGGGTAAGGGTTTTCGTGCTAACCAATTTGTTAATGTGACATGTCAAATATAAAAACCGCCGAATTTATCAAATATTATTACATAATAATAAACTATATACTTGGTTGGTAGTTTGAATTCTTGTTTAATAATTCGACACAAACTTGAGATGCAATATTGTTTACACTCAAACGTCTCCAACCCATGACTTATGGAGATTTTATTTCAAACCTTTATATTTTATTTTTATTGTGCAAATATATAATTTATTGTTAAATAGCACAAGCACATAATTTTTTATTGAAAAAAACCACTTGTACAGCACTCTAATCACTGTAAATGTAGTGCAAAAGTGAAAAATAGACTAGTACTACAAAAGTGAAAAATAGAAGATTTATATATTCAAATGAACGATTACAAACCAATTTATTATAAATATGACAAGAAACACCTTAACAATTTTTCTAGTTATATAAAAATTAAATCCATGTGTGGAGTTGATTTTTGTGAAATGTGATTTTTTTAAATGCGTGATTAGAAAAAGTGGGTAAAATTATGAAAAATGTGATTTTATTTATTTATTTTAGTTTTCGAGGATCCATGATTGAAGATGAATATAATGAAAAAAAAAAAAAAACAATTTTGAAACAATCATTTTCTAGCAACGTTAAGGGCCCATTGACATGGCATTTGAAAAATCAAAATGAATTTTTAAGATCTAAAAATTATTTTTGAATATGTTTGGCTAGTTTATCAAAGAGTCTTTGCTAGTTATTAGAGTTTTTAGAAAAATGTAGTCCAACGTGACTTCCTTTAAAAATATTTTAGAAATAGAAAACTTTTTAAAATTTAGTTTTCAAATAAAAATTTAGATAATTGTTTTTAAAAGCTCTCTTACAGGAAGTGAAAGCAAAAAATTATGTCGAACGGACCCTAAGAGTCCCTATTTGGTTCAGTTAAATATTTGAATTAAAATTAAAATCAAATCAAAATCAGCAATTAATTATAACAAGATATTTATTCACCACTTTTCAAATACACATTACACCCTTTTTTTTATTAGAATCTAATAAAAATTTAATTCTTATCTAAATCAAATATCAATTATGGACTAAAAATATACCAATAACAATGTGTGTGATTTGAATAGTTGTCGAAAGAGGGAACGAGGGAAAAAGTCGGTACAAAAGGTGTATTTATTTTGCAGTAAAATGTGCTTTAATTTCATTTAACAGATCCAGATAGAGATACTGAGCAAAGTCAACTGTTAAGAGAATCTTAGAGAAGAAGAATAGAATTCATTCATTTATGACTATAACAATAGTCCTTAATCATTATCAAACAAGCATAGCTGTGATTGGAGACAAGAACATGGGACCATCGCCCCAGCACTGTAAAAACGTTTCTTTAGAAACACCCATAGATTGAATGCCAGCGTAAGGGCAAATTTGATACCAACGCCTTTTCTGATAGGCCTTTTCCTCCATCATTCTAAATCCCAAAAGGTACCTTCTTTTGTCCCTCGCAACAAGCTCTTAACTCTTTCCATTTTTCTGGTGATCGCGTAAGACTGCTATGAAATATTGCAAACTATCTTGACTTTATTTCTATAAGTTTTAGCTTACCTATATACCTTTTACGACTTGATTTTGTTTGTATAGTCTCTTCTGATTATCAATTCGTTGTTGGATGGTGAATTTGATGTTATAATCATTCTTCTGTGATGATTTTCTCGAGTAATATCTAACAAAACCCAGTCTTCCTTTAAAAAAAAAAAAATTATAACATTATTGACTTGATTATTTAACATTAACAATATGAAAAGAAGTTTAAAAAATGAATGAAAGACTTGATTATAACATTATTGACTGATGAGTATAGCTCCTAAGCGCTAACACACATTTATTTATAATAAAATAAGTTCAACAACTCTCTACGGTTGGTTAGTGTTTATCCAAAAAATAGATAACAACTATCAAATAACAATTTTGCATTTATCCTTTGATTTGAACTTGACAATCTTATCACTCCAAGATTTTCTCATCTTCTTATCACTCATTTGAAAAAAGTTGTGTGACATTTCTAATATCCTCCCACAAATTGTGCTGGGCTAAAGGCACAGTTTGGTTCCAAAAATTGAGAGTTGCTATGGATATTGGTTTGATGAAGAAGCCAACAATGATTTTTATCTTCATTCTTGCGAAGATATGTCACTTGTGTATATAAGCATTTCAAGTGCTTCCCATATTGCACGGGTTGTGTCTAATCCTATAAGGAGTCTGAGAGTTTCTTCAAAAAGTTGCGATTATCCAACCATGAATGAGAGGATCGGACTTTCACCAGGCAATGAACTCATTTGTTAATTTCGATGTGATTTTTTTTTTTTTTGAATTTGATGTGATGTATTTGGTGGGTACAAGGTCTTTATTAGTGAAATGATCAACCTTTTCTTGAACTCATTTATTAATTTTGGAATGAAATTTTCTGTTTCTACCGTTTTGTTTGGATTTGGTGGGATGTATTTGATGAACGAGAATTAATGAGACATGAATATAAAGTTGTCAACATTTACGAATAGTAAAGTGATGGTGGAAGAGAGGACTTGTGGTGTGTCGAGTGCTCACAATGACTCTGATACCAAGAAAAAAATATGAAAAAAACTTTAAAAATGAATAAAAGATTTGATTATAACATTGTTGACTGATGACCATGAGCACCTAACACACATTTTATCCTATTTATAATAAAATAAGTACAACAACTATTTATCCAAAAAATCGATAACAACTTTGCATTTATCCATTGATTTGAATTTGACAATCTTATCACTCAAAGATTTTCTCATCTCCTTATCACTCCTTTGATCCTTATCATTTCTCTTGCCAAGTTGTGTGATATTTCTAACACTATGACATATTGCAAACTATCTTGACTTTATTTCTATAGGTTGTAGCTTACCTATATACGTTATACGATTTGATTATGTTTGTAGAGTCTCTTCTAATTATCAATTTGTTGTTGGATGTTGAATTTGATGTTATAATCGTTCTTCCGTGATCATTTTCTCGGGTAATATCTAACACAACCCAATCTTCTTTTTAAAAAAAAAAAAAACAGAAAATAAATAAAAATAAAAATTATAAGGTGAAGGATTTGTATGATTGTAATGAGCATATCCTAAGAAAGAACAAATCTAATGCAAAATTAAAATAATCGGAGGATTTAATAAGCAATGATTTTGAATTCTTTGTAACAGATAAAATTGGGTTAACTCCTTCAACATCATGAACTTAGGCTAAACTTTATGGAAAATGTGTGAACAGCAATGACCTGCAATGGGAATATATATGTACCTAGATGCATGTATAAACCTCTGCTGGTGTTTTTCATGTTGGTTCTACTTCTCTCTATGCATTCTCAAGCACATTCTTCATAAACATTTTGGCACTTTCATTTATCCATTGATTTGAATTTGATAATCTTATCACTCAAAGATTTTCTCATCTCCTTATCACTCCTTTTATCCTTATCATTTCTGTTGCCAAGTTGTGTGATATTTCTAACACTATGACATATTGCAAACTATCTTGACTTTATTTCTATAGGTTGTAGCTTACCTATATACGTTATACGATTTGATTCTGTTTGTAGAGTCTCTTCTAATTATCAATTTGTTGTTGGATGTTGAATTTGATGTTATAATCGTTCTTCCGTGATCATTTTCTCGGGTAATATCTAACACAACCCAATCTTCTTTTTTTTAAAAAAAAACAGAAAATAAATAAAAATAAAAATTATAAGGTGAAGGATTTGTATGATTGTAATGAGCATATCCTAAGAAAGAACAAATCTAATGCAAAATTAAAATAATCGGAGGATTTAATGAGCAATGATTTTGAATTCTTTGTAACAGATAAAATTGGGTTAACTCCTTCAACATCATGAACTTAGGCTAAACTTTATGGAAAATGTGTGAACAGTAATTACCTGCAATGGGAATATATATGTACCTAGATGCATGTATAAACCTCTGCTGGTGTTTTTCATGTTGGTTCTACTTCTCTCTATGCATTCTCAAGCATATTCTTCATAAACATTTTGGCACTTTTCTTTTAATTCATTTTTGGGGATTGTAGTTTGTGAAGTATAGGAACAGAGTTCAACCAGGTCAAAATCTTAAGTGATGTGGTCTATTTTCATTGCCAGGATCAGCATTCGGTGCCATAGTATTGTTGATTCTCTCACAATCACATCCTGAATGTGTGGGCTCTGCCATAGTTGCGACCAAGTACTAGTAAAGGAATACATTTCTTGGATCTGAAGGAGAAGAGGATCTTCTGTTATTGCAAGAACATTTGAAGTTTTTTGCACTATTCCAGACTAAAATAATTAATATACACGAGATGTGGTCTTTGTATATTCTTGCAAACAAATTTTTGAAACCAGATGAAAGAAAAAATGAAGGATCAGCGGGAAATAATTTGGAAATTGTTGAACCCTACCAAATCAAACAGTCATCGAGAAAAGATGAAAGATATGGTTCAGTTTTGTCCCGTTTCATTGAAGTAAGTCTTATTTTTATACCAACAGCCTTGCTATTTCAACGTTATTTCACCAGGTGCAGCTGAGCTCAGCTGCACTGCCGAAGTATTATCTTGGATCAAATAGACTTTGATTCTTTCTGAATCAATTGCTGTATATTTATGATTTTAGGTGCCTCATATAAACCAACTACGCACGTGGGACTGCGGCCTTGCTTGCGTTCTAATGGTTTTGAGAACTCTTGGCATCTATAATTGCAATATTCAGGAACTGGAGGAGCTGTGCTCCACGACAAGGTACTTTCTGCTTCTGGAAGCTCTAAGCTTTCATCCTACTAATTTCTATGAAAAATTCCCCTGTTCTGTTATTCGTTGAGTGGACTATCTTTCTTTGCCTCTTTCCTTCTCTCTTTCATCTTCAAAATTTTCAACGGGGAACCATTTAATATTGAAGAAATCTGCAGAGGTGAGCATGATATTGTGGAAATTTTCATACATCGAGAAGTTTGTTTTTTAATAGCCCATTATATGGCAGATGGTTTATAAGAAACGTCCATGAAATAAGCTTTTTACAGGTACTCATGTTAAGATTGAGTACTTTTGGTGGGACAAAATATATCTACAGCATGTGATCAGTAATCAAATTGATGATACAAATCCCATCTGGTTTTCTTGCTTAAAACGTTAATCACAATAAAGAAAGAATAATCAGAGTAGCATATGATCATCCTGCTCAGATAATTTTTTTGGGATCCAAGCATAATGATTTTAAAATCTAAACATAGTCACACAGTAATTTAATTTCTCATTTGGAGAATATTCAAAGAATACACTCTAGAATTTTTATCTTATTGATCTGTCTGTCTGGAATATCAAATGCTGCTCCTTCTATTCAACCGACAAGCAATTCTTTGTTCCTCAATGTAAAATCAGATTGGATTCAGTTGAAACCTGTCTCAACGGAACTGGGAATTAAGGGAGTTTAATAGTTACTCCTTTTCTTTGTGGTAAGTTTTTGAATTTTTGTCAGTTACTTTTTAGTTTTATAAAATGCATATGCTACACTTTAACAAGTAATGAGGGAAAAATTGGCTTAAAGGATTTCATCTATTTAATCCTGAATGATAGCATGTCCCAATAAGGGTCTTTGGAATCTGTTCTTCAATTTTCTGAAACTAGGAACTTCCTCTCCATCACAACGTGCAAATCAATGTAAATATTGCACGCAAAAGTCCTAAGGCCTGAGCCCTCTTGACCCGTCAGTTTAAATCTTCTCATATGTAAAAAGTGTTCTTATTAATGTAATGGCAAAATAATCATACTAATAAAGAAAAGTTGTATTTTATACGTTCAGCAACTGTTTCTTGCGTGTAAATGCTAGGTATTTCACCTTTTCCTTAACTCATTTGTGCTTGTAATTTGTCTATGGCAAATGGCAGTAAGCTTGTCTTTTACAGCCTACTGGTAAGCTGCATGCAAATTTTTTATGGTAGTTCTAATGATGGTGATGACAAAGTAATGCAAAACTTTTGCTGATATGAATCATTTTTCTGACTGCCTTTTTCATGCTGTCCGTGTTGCAGTATTTGGACGGTTGATTTAGCCTATTTGCTGCAGAAGTTTTCTGTAAGATTTTCCTACTGTACAGTAACCTTAGGAGCCAACCCAAATTTTTATGTGGAGACATTTTACAAGGTGAGGTCCTGTTTCATCAATCAATTGTCTAATTTATCTGAGTGATGTTTTCTTCATAATGTACTTAACATTGGGTGGTCATCTTGGTGCCTATCAACTCCTAGATGACATTGTACTTATAATCTTGAAGCCTGGAGCCCTTCTGTATTCAATTTTTAATCAGATATCCTGACGTGCTTGGTTTGCCAGTAGTTGCTAACGTGTTGCACATGTTAGATACATGGTGCCAGATCGGAACAACATATAGGAAATTGTAGAAGTATGTGAGTTTTTGTTATTTTGGTTCTTCATTTCTTTCCTAAGGATGACTTGTGATGATGTAGTAGTTTGCCAATTTATATAGTATGTTCAATGAATAACATGGATAAATTAACCCACTGTTAGGAGTTGGCATTTCAGCATTGAGAATTTGATTTCTATTAATATGTTCTCTGTACATCATTTCATAATTTCTTTTTCGTTTCAATTCTTTCATATCCTTGCTGTGAAATCAAGCTTTGTTAATGGTTGTTATCCTTTATGATTCTGAGATGTGTTTACAACAGATCTGCACTCTTCTTTTGGGAATTATCTTATTTATGTGGCAACTTTTAATGCCAAAGATTAGCATATTGCAGGAGCAATTGCCTAACGATCTAGTTCGAGTAAATATGTTATTTCAAGAAGCTCGGAAAGCTGGAATCAATATAGAGGTATAATCTACGTGCTATGGTTGGTCCTTGATTCTTTATCATGCGAGTTCTCTGCATGTGAACTAGGATTTTGGAGTGATCTTCTCTAGGTTAGCATTGAAAATTAGTAACTATATCAGCACATTAAGTACTTTTGGCTTTTAAATGAGTATAGTAGCTAACTTTTCTCCCATCTTGTCAGTAATAGCAATTCAATTTGAAAGAAGTCGTTGAGTATTAAAAAAAACTTAAGGCATTCGTAAGGATTTCCCGGAGTAAAATATAAAGATCAATAACATGAGACGGCAATGCGATTAGGAGGTTCTAGTGTGGAGTACAGTTGACCAGAGGTTAATTTCTAATATCTTTTTTTTTAAAAAAAAAAAAAGATCATGTAATCACTGAGGTAATCATGGAATCCTCTTTTCTGTGTAAATTAATGTTAACGCATTTTTAGTAAAATCAAGAACCACTTGGAATGGAAAGTTCAAGGAGGTTAGTTTGTAATTGACTCTATAGGGCATTTGGAATGTAGAGGGATCTGCCGATCTGGTATTAGACTAACATCAATTTTTGACTTTCAGTTGGCTAACAAGTGAAATTGTGATGCTACATGTTAAAGTATAGTTTCATTTGTTTTATTTTTATTTAAATGGTTAAACACGCACTGTTTATGAAATTAATCCCTCAAACTTTTTTTCAACTTGTTGCAAAATTCATAATGTTGTCAAATGCCGCTTAGTATGAAACTATGTTTCTCTGAAATAAGTTTTGTAATTAACAAAGTTGGTCTGCATCTTACAACTAAATTTTGAGCTTTCTATTAACCTTTTCTATGATGCCAAATGCTATTCCCGTTGACTTTCCTTCGGATAATCCCTACAGTTTTTAATAAGAGAAAGAAGCATGTTTACCAAACTGTAATGCAAGGCTAATCTCTGGTGTGGTTTCGGAACCAGGTGGTGGTGGTTTGGAGTACTAGGGGTCGCAATTCGGGAAAATTAGAAAAAGTACATAAGTACTGTACAATGCTTAAGAAAATTTGGGGAGGGACCCTACCTTGGAGTAATGCAGATTTGGGTATGATGACAATCATCACATATGGTGTGATTTGATAGTCTCTATTAGATAACATGGGATTGTGCTTATATTTATGGAAATGGATGATACTCCCCACTATTAGCAACCTAATATAATCTCCTCGTTCTATTTTTGTCACTAATATGTTACAATATCCTACCTCACCAGAATTCTTTTTGGACATATTTTATATCAAAGACAAACTTTTGAGTCCTCTTATGCTTAAATTTTTGAACTTGGATATTGTGATTGAAATTTATTTCTTACTTGGGAGCACTTGCCTACTGCCACGTGCAAATGTCTAACAGTATATGTCCGAATAAATAAACCATGCTACTACATGTTAACGAAGTAACTAAGCATGATTTCTGTCCTATCATTCTCAGTAATTGTGCATTGAACTGCATATTCATTTTATGCATGATGAAACAAATAGTTGGATTATCTATTCTTTTGATAGAAGATTTTGGTGTTTGAACTAATAATTATATTTTTACTATATCCATTTAGCTAAGACGACATTCCTCTTCTTTACAGCGCAGATCTGTTAGTGCAGATGAAATTTCTGAGCGTATCTTATCTGGAAAATATATTGCTATTGCTTTGGTTGACCAGTACAAACTAAGGTTAGAGTGGCCTTTTTATTTCTAATTTATCTCTTTTTGTTGACTCGTGTGCAATATTTATTTGTGGATTCCATATTGACAAGTTTGCACGAATATCTTAACAAACCTCATCAATATTAAATGCACAAATGTGTGCCGTGTTTATTAAATTTATAATTTTAACTGTTCCCAACTTTTTTGGATGCAGTCGTTCTTGCCTAAAGGATGTTTATGTCTCTGACTTCTATAGTGGCAGCCCTGGCTACACAGGTGAGGAATGAAGTTTTGTCTTGTATGGTTTTGCTCTTAAAATCGAATAGCAACTTGATGGTGCGAGTCCAATGTCTGTGTCCATATGGACCATATCCATATACTCGTAATCTCCGTGATGCTGTGTCATCTTTGGTTTAAATTTTATTTCCTAGTGCCGTATTTGATCTTTCCATAACTTGGACTATTGCCTTTTCAGGTCATTATGTCATTATATGTGGTTATGATGCCGTTACAAATGAGTTTGAGATTCGAGATCCCGCCATTTCAAGGTTTCTATCAGATGCCTGCATTAGCATATATATATATTATAAAGCCTGTCATTTATATCGAACTACATATCTAATCAATTTTTTCTTTGGAAGAGTGGAACAATCCGTGTTTTGATTTGCTTGTATGGTTGAATAAGCAAGCCTGGAACACATCTGACCAGTTTCTAATGAAATATCATCTCCTTTGGACCTAAAGTTATTTTTTGAGTCAACTTGTTTGACAGAGTCTTTTTGATGTGTATATGAACTTTACTTAATTAAAAATAGAAGTTTTGCAGGAAATTTGAGAGGGTCGCATCATCGTGTTTAGAAGAATCCCGCAAATCCTTCGGTACTGATGAGGATATACTTCTGGTAAGTTTTCAATGCTTATGGCTCGTTTTTTTATTTTTTATTTTTTGCAGTGACAGCAATAAGATTGATACCTGTCTCAATTAATTAGCGGTTGGTTGAGTTATTTGACCACTAATATGTTTTATTTGTATAGACATCAATGCTGTTAAATAAGTTATTGCAGATACCCGTGATCAAAATCATTCTTTACGATTACATGTGCTTACATATATGAAACAAAAGTTGCAGAAAAATAAGTCTTAAGTCATGGCCTGTCAAAACAGTTGGTGTAAATGGAAATCAAAAAACACAGCTTATTACCGAAATCTTCAGCAAAATTTTCATATATTGTCTCTTTATGGAGTTTACGCTGCTTTGAGCTTAGCTCTTTTGCGACTAGTTCTCTAAAGGGAAAAGCGATGGATTCCGTAATCCAGATACCTTAGCAAGGACACTGTCTAAATTCAAATATTGAGTGATGTAAGGGAGAAAAATTAATTTTTCTATAGGAGAAGTCTTCACAGGCCAACTTACAAAATATGGAAGAAAATATGGGTCATCAACCATGTTCTTGCATGACAATACATGTTACTCGAGGTGTCGAAACCCAAGATGGTCACCTAGCACTTGCCACTTGTGCTGCAACAAAAACTGGTGCCACCAAGTTGCTGGTGGTTGTTCAGAATGGACTCTTGTAGTGACAAGTTTTCCATAATTGACAAGACAATATGCCTCTAGTCTTCAAATTATGAGTACTGTTTCTTAGTCACTAATGGATTTCCAATGGACGGCAACAATAGTCGAGTCACTTAACTACTTATGCTAACTCATTCTTTCTCACACCTTATCATGTAGTTCTTGGCTTTCAGCCCAAATGCGTCGCATGGGGGATAGCTTGTTTTGTTTGACCTATTCACATAATTGAATTAACTAGTAGACTTTAGCCATTTGTACAGAAAAAAAATCACCAGAATTTCACCAGAAAAGAGACAGCAGTGGGTCCCATCGTGTATTTAAAAAAGAAAAAAAATGTGCGGGCCCCACCCTTGTGTGAGTGTTCTGTTGCATTTCTGGTGTTTTGGTTTTTATACGTGCAGCACATTTCTAACTAGTAATAGTAACTTATGATGCATGTTGTAGGTAAATCAGCTCAATGAGCATCTTCCCACATGAAACCATCTAATAGAATTAATATCGAATATGAACTGAAACATCTCTTTTCTTTTCTTAGCCGAACAAAAACCCGTAGCTATAAATGGCCTTGTAATGAAGGTATTGGAGGTATTTAGAGCACAAGCTTTCTATTGATGCTCAGGATGCAGTTTCCATCTAAACTCTCCCCTTCATTCAACTTGAAAGGGACAACATGTGACACTTTTTAGTTGTAGGGCTGGCCATCAATAGTTCAAAATTTGTGAATATATTGGTGCCACAAGTCAGTGGCAAGGAAATAATAATTGATAATTCTGTTGCAAATTTGACACCATTGGGAAGACTGAAACTTTATTTCATTCCTACATTTCAGGGCAGGGAGTTTTAATATCTAGATAAATTACAAAATACGTTCTCAAAGCTTGCAAGGAAGCATCTATCGGGAATGGTTGAATATATACTGCATCTATAATATATGGCTGGCAGATACATTAAATGCTTAATTTTTCTTTTTTCATTTTCTTGGTCACAAGGGGAGTGAGCATCATACAAGCCTTTCATGAGTGCTGACGTTGGACAGCGCTTTCTTTTGTTTCAGAGCTTTCTTCAACACTGACCCACAATTAACAGGCCTCCCTATCGTTGTGCCAATACAGTGATCTTGTCCACTTTCTCTTCCACGGCAAGCTTAGCCTACTTTCGTGTACTCTAATTGGCATTATCAACCCTAAATGCAAAAGCACATTTGTTTTAATATGGGTCCATTTGATGAATAGCTAGATTGGCCTTCTGTTCATAGCCAGAGGATTGAGGTCCTCCTATATGTATCTCAATGATGAGGAGAATGGAAAATTCGAATATTATTTCATCTCTTCTATTTGGAGACCAAATTTTGTTCGAATATTTTTGCTTAGAGAAGATATATGAGTATAGCTCCCATGTCTTCTTATTTTGTTTCATATTTTTTGCTTGTAAATAACAAGAATTAAGAGTCAGATTTCATTACCATCTAATTGTAGGGAAAGTTAAACGCTCCATTCTTTGTTATGAACGATATTTTGCGATGTATTTAGGAATGACCTTTAACGTATGTTATTAGCCCTTTGACGTATATTATCAGAACAGGATCTTCAATCTCCATCGCATTTTATGTTGTTTCTGATTTATTTTTTCTTGATACAAGAAAGTGATATTTTGATGAAATGAATTCATGACCACTGCCCACTTCTACGAAACTGGGAAGATGACATTTTTTAGCTCTAATGAAATTTTGGTTCTGATTGCAGATATCGCTGGAGAAAGGAGAGAATCAACAAAACACCTCAGAGCCGATATCTTTGTATCCATGTTAAACTTGTGTGATCAGAGAACCATTTCTACCGTGTTTGTAGCTGCACATATCTGCATTTCACTTGTACATGACTGTATATTATCATGTATAGTCGTCCAAAACTAACGTTTTCAATTACTGTAATTGGATGATTGTACTACCACACTATAACTGTAAATATTAATGAGGAGTACATAGATGTTTTCTGGATTCTTTTTGGCGTTTAGTTTCACTTGAAGGCCTGAAACTTTTTTGACAATTTATACTCGAGCATATCTTATCAAGCATCTTCTTTCCTTCTATCAATACTCTATTTCCCGCAATGTGAATGAAATCGAGTTGCTGACTCGCTGTAGAGGACTGAAACCGAACAGATGCTGCTATCGAGAGTATGGTCCTTTCGCCTTGCAAGACGAGTTCGTGCCCTTTATTGTTTCTTTATTAATTTATGTACAGGTGGTAAGTGCCTCAACATTTGTTTCTTTCATCTTTCATGCATTTCGTTGGAGGTCACGTCTCTATTGTATTATGGTTCATTTATATCATGGCAACAGAATCCTAACTCCCTCAGTTAGTCTTGGTGGAGCCTAAAAAATACGACGGGCTATGATGGTGCATTACTTAAAACTAACTTCTTCTGTTTCGGTTTTGTGGAGAAATTCCAATGCTAACAAGCTACTGCAGTACTTAAATTTGTGTAGATTTTGGGAGGATCAATATCAGCAACAACATTGTAGGGAAAAGTGTGCAGATGTGAAGAGTTTCGCATTAATTTTTCAAAATTAATCAATCGGCTTCTATGAACCGAAGACAATTTTTTGATCTTTTTATGTAAGAAAAAATTTATTTTTCTCGTCATTTCCTGGTAACAGTAAATTTTTCAGTGGAACGATGGGTCCATGGATATAAATGTCAAGATATCTCTTTTATGTCTGCGTTAATGACATCTTTCGACTGGAATATTTGACGTGAGCGTATTTGTTTTGGTATGCATAAGGGTAAATAAATTTGTCAAACATACTGTAAAAATTACTTCTTTTAACTAACAAACTACGTAGGGGTCCAAAAACCTCAAACTTAGACAGAGATGAATATACGGTGTGTGTGTTTTCAAATTTTTGGAAAAAGACAAATAAATAATTAAATTCAACAAGACAAACTTCACAAACGATATCAAAATAAATGGTGGATACATTAAAGTGCCAAATTATTAATCAAATAAATTTGGAGTTTTGCAAGTTGACATAGCTACTCACCAAGACCATAATTTTACGTTCAAAATTCAATTTATTAGTGGTATAGGATTATAATTTTCTCTTGAAACGAGTTTGCAAGAAGAGTGTGCAGAGTTCTACATAAATCTTCAAAATTAATCGGCGTCAAAGAACCAGGTGGACAAAATTTTGATATCTTTATGGAAGAATCGATTTTTTTGGCCATTTCTTGATATTTTTTACATTAAATTTTCCAAAGTAATGGTATAAAATATCTCTTGTATATCTATGAGCAAATAATGTCTTTTGAATGAAACATTATTTTAAAATGTAAATAGGAAAAATTCCTATTTTGTGAATTTTTTTATTAAGTTTGTGTTTGATGTATATTATTGAGAAAATAATGTATTTTCAATAGTGATATGATAGGAAATATGTGATTAAAAAGTAAGAAAAAGTTATTGATGTAACGGAAAATATTATTTTATTGAAGAATGTGAGGTTGAAAGTGAGTTTTGAAAAAAATGTATTTTGAAATAATGTGTACCAAACAATGGTTAAGAGGCAAGATAGATGTCAACGCCAAACCCCAAGGTTCATCCAGAAATACATTTTTTTCAAAACTCATTTTAAATCACACATTTTTCAATAAAATAATATCTAAATTGATTATTATTTTTTATTTTTTAACCACACATTTTTCAAAAAAATTATTATTTCAAAATATATTTATTTCTTCAAAATGAGGCTCAAACAAGGGTTGAGTTTACAATAAATGTGCGTGTCTTCTAAATTTAAATTTTTTGAGAAAATACTTAAATAAAAATTAAATTCAACAATAATAGTATTATTTATTTGACAAATCTCCAAATGTTGGATCCTAAGTTAATCAAATAAATTTGAATTTTGGCAACTTAACCCATAGCTCATTCACTCACTATACAACAATTATGATCAAAATTCAAAATTTATTTCACACTTTTTCATTCATAGGCAATGAGTTATGAGATGTATAATGGAGTGTTCGAAAATTTATTAGAAATTAAAGCAAATCATTTGGTCATAACTAATTTTAATTTAAATATAAATCATTCTGAAGACTTTAATTTCTGGGTGGAAGAATGGGTTAAAAATTTCAATCTCAATCATATGTTCAATGCAGTTTTGTATTCTAACGGTTACTGAACTTCAAAATAATTTTGAATAATTTTTGTTCTTTCAATATTGTTCATCATGCGTCACTCTTATCTATTTCCACTTAAAAATAACATTGTGTGTAAAGAATAGCTGTGTGTAATTTGAAAAGAATTTGGGCCATCCCCTCGCTTCCCTCTTTGCAAATTCAAATCCAATATTAATTTGATTTTCAAATTTGTTGTGTTCAAAAATGCGACTGATCCTGCTTTAGGGTGTGTTTGAGCCACATTAGTTGGTGTTTGGCACCTATTTTTTTGAAGAATGAGTTTTTGAATAGTGATTGATGTAAAAAATGTGTGGTTAAAAAGTAAGAAGAATTTTTGGGTTTATGTGTAATATTATTTTATTTGGAGAATGTGTAGTTAGAATGAGTACTGTAGAAAAATGAGAATGAGAATGAGATAAAAAATGGGTGTCAAACGTGGGCTTATTATTATGGAAGAATGTATTTTGGAATAGTAGATTGATGGAAAATGTGAAGTTGAAAAAGAAGGAAAAATTATTGATGTGATGATAAATATTATTTTATTGAAGAATGTGCAGTTGAAAATGAATAGAAGAATGAAAAAGAAAATGAAAATTTTAAGGGAAAATTGCGGCCGCGGTCCCAAACCTTTCATTTTGTTGCAGATTACACCCAAACCTTTAATTTTTGCAGTCGAAGTCCCAAACTTTTATATGTAATAGCAGCGTCGGTCTATTAGAAATTAAAGCAAATCATTTGCTCATAACTAATTTTAATTTAAATATAAATCATTCTGAAGACTTTAATTTTTGGGTGGAAGAATGGGTTAAAAATTTCAATGTCAATCATATGTTCAAAGCAGTATTGTATTCTAACGGTTACTGAACTTCAAAATTATTTTGAATAATTTGTGTTCTTTCAATATTGTTCATCACTTAAAAATTAACATTAAAATAACATTGTGTGTAAAGAATAGCTGTGTGTAATTTGAAAAGAATTTGGGCCATCCCCTTGCTTCCCTCTTTGCAAATTCAAATCCAATATTAATTTGATTTTCAAATTTGTTGTGTTCAAAAATGCGACTGATCCTGCTTTAGGGTGTGTTTGAGCCACATTATTATGGAAGAATGTATTTTGGAATAGTAGATTGATGGAAAATGTGAAGTTGAAAAAGAAGGAAAAATGATTGATGTGATGATAAATATTATTTTATTGAAGAATGTGCAGTTGAAAATGAACAGAAGAATGAAAAAGAAAAAGAAAATTTTAATGTGACTCTTAATTTTTTTTCACTTTTTAATTGTGTACTTGTTTGGTAGGGATTTTTGGGGGAAGAATTGATTTTTGAATATTGATATGATGAGAAATGTGTGGTTGAAAAAGAAGAAAAAATTATTAATATGATATGTTGTAACATGTGATTAAGTGTAAAGGGTAATAAGAGCTTGTTTGGGAGGGATTTTTGGGGGAAGAATTGATTTTGAATAGTGATATGATGGGAAATGTGTGGTTGAAAAAGAAGAAAAAATTATTAATATGATGAAAAATATTACTTTATTAAAAAATATGTGGTTAAAAATGAGAATTGATTCTCAAATAAAAAATAAACACCCCCTGTATACTTTTTAAAAAATCACTATTTAAAATTTCATTTTCGCGAAATAATGGCCGGGTTTTAATAAAAGCAAACCCCGTCAACAACATTCTTCCCACTTCTCTAGCCCATCCTTTTCACTCTCCCTCTCTAACTCTTTTTCCTTGGGTTCTGGGTCCCTCTCTCTGCCATGCCTGTAAAATTACTCACTTCACACTTATTATTATATCTTCCTCGACCAGCAACCATAACTCTATGCACTTGAAACCTTCTCTATTCTATTCTTTTTTCTTTTTGCTCCTAAAATGGCTCAAGGACCGGAGTTTTGTTTGCCAGCGGAGTTCCTCACCGACGAGGATTTTGTCATTGAGAACGAGAAATTCAACGAAGAAACTGAGTCAGTTTCCGAGTTCTGCTTCCCCACTGAATTTCCCTACGATTTTGGCACCTATACATTGGGTTCTCCCGAAATAGAGAGCGACGACGAAGACTTACTCGCCGCATTAACTTGCTCCTCTTTCTATCAACATCTCAACCCCACCAAGCCTCAAAATCTTGAGGTGCCATTGTAATTTATCTCTCTTTCTTTCTGTTTACCTTACTTTTTGCATTTTCTTATGGATTTCTTGTTTGCATGTTTCATTTTCTAGAAAGATTGGATGTCCGGTTCGCCCCAGTCAACGCTGACCCAGGTTGGGAGCACCGGCGGGTCGTACGACGGTAGCCATAATGGTCCATCTCAGGTGCCGTCTCCTCCAACGACCCTGTTCGGGATTAAGAACAACAAGCCATGGGAACTGATTTACCATCCCGCCGTTCAAGTCCCTAAACACAAGCTAAACGGCGGTGGCCTATCGGAGCCACCTAGAAGCCTCGTTCAACTTCAATATCCTGCACAAAATCTCAACGCCCCTGTTTTCCATAACACTCGTGTAAACATCTTCTTTAATTAACCTTTTTTGTATTTTCTTGCTTCAATTTTATACCCTTTTTAACTTTCTTTTTCATATTCAACAGTTCCAGCAAGTGAGAGTGGATCGTTCGATGAACCAACCGAATATGGGGTGTGGAATGTGGTACAGCCAGCACCAAATGGATAAAAACAGGGGTGCGAGACTAGTAGGAGGAATGGGTCAAGCTGCGTACCAAATTCGCCCTACCCAAAAGTTTAGCGGTTCGGGTACTACTGGGCAGGTGTCTTTTGGTGGGTATGGCGGCGGAGATAGAATTGGTCCAGGCGGTGCCGGTGGTAAAAAGGGGTGTGCTGGGACAGGGGTCTTTTTTCCTCGGAGATATGGGGCTAATAATGAAAAGAACGCGTTCCCTTCAGATTCACGCAAGAAGCTAGGTACTTTACAGCTAATCAGTCCTCTCAATTGCTAATTTTTTCATAATTTGTCGCCTGTTTAAATTTTTGTCATTTTTTGGCTTCCCTCTTGTGTCTGATTATACAGCTATGATACAGAAATTAGCTTCATTAATTCTGTATTAATTTTGTGGTCCAAAATAGGAATTTCAAATTCTAATCCGAGGTAACAGTGATGTAATAGTTTCACGTGAGGTCTTACTGTCTCTGACTATTTGGGATATGTGCTTTATTAAAGGAGACAAATTTCCCCATAAAGAACCTCGCTTGTTTAATTCTGATAATCCCTTTTTCTTAAGACTAAAAATGGGATTTCATAACATTTTTATCAACAATCTTATCTGCCAAATCCTTATCTGGGGTCAAAAAGGAACAAATCTTGGTTGCTTTATAGATCTTGAACGCGAATTTTCTTTATTATTCAGATTTGATGCCAGACAATTTGGTGAAGTTGACAGATAATGTTGTATTTGACATTCTGATTCTGTTCACAGTTAGTTCAACTGCTTTGCTTCCTGATGGAATTATCCATGCCCTCAACAAGAATATCTTCGACGTTCAGTCTCGGTCTCAGCCTGGGTACTTCATCCCGGATTATGGTATACATTGTACTCCATTTATCACTAGTTCTACATGTTGGGTATAATTTTTTGCTTACATTGTTGAATTGCATTTCAGACACCTTGATGTCTAGAAGGAATGCGTTATTGATACAACATCAACTCGGTTTAAGTTCGTCGACTCGAAGTTCATACCATCCTCAGGATTGGAGCTTTTGAGTTTGGGCATTTTCAGTTGATTTTGGTGGTAAAATTATGGTAGTAAAAGGAAATGTGCAGTTAGACAAGGAGAAGAAGAAGATATCCTTAGGTTATTTTGGTTGGACTATGTTGTGTATCTATGTTTTTATGGCCTGATGGTGATATATAGAATTTTATAGAAAAAGGCAGTATAATATGAGGAGGGTGGTTTTAACTTTTTATTGAATAAGTAGTGGATGTTTGTTTTGGGCACAACCCTCCTTTTCCTTTTGTGTAATATTATTGAATTTCTATTGTTATGTCTAATAAAAAATGTAGTTATCTTATTCGGCAAAGGCATTTCTTTCTGAATTGATGAATGGTTCCATTTAAATGAAAAATTAAATTTTGAGGAAATCCTTGCTTCGTGGTGGCAAAATATTGTCGATATAATTTGGCTGTGACTAGTTTGTTTGGTACGTACGTGTACAGAAATAAGACGTTTTCGTTGAATTTTGTGTGTTTTTACATTTTAGAGTCTCTCTTGTAAGTTTTTATAGAACTTGAGAGAGGTTACAGTAAAAATAATAGATTCTTGAAGAAAATAAAGTCATGTGCATATAAAAATTTTACCATTACGTAGCTTGACAATATTGCTCATCTTCAATTCGTCGAAGTAAACTTCAAAAGGTGAAAGATAATATTTAGGTTTAGAATTAGGAATAGAAGGATGAAAAGTGGTCTAAGATAAGAGGCTATTACTTGGTTTGGACGTGAAGGTGATTAAGACTTGGACAGGGACGTGGGCAGTGGCGTACGACGTAGTATCAATGGCCTTATTCTTTGTTTTGTTGTCTTTTGGAACTTCCCGCTTCTTTTTCAGATTTCAAATTGAAAGAGTGGCAAACATCTTCGGTAGTTGTGATTTGGTTTATGGTCAACCCACCCACACACCCACCTTTGTTTTTTTTAATGTAAGGTAACCAACTATTGCTATTGTTATCACGTTAAGTTAATGAGTAGAAAAATGATATTCATCCCCAGTGGGGATGCATCCTCAGTCTATGTGGATGTAAATGATTGGTTAAATGATAGGTGAAATTAAAAAATTAAATGACTTGTTTAATTTCACCTATCTTTTAATGTCACGTTAACGACACATAGATTGGGGATGCATCCCCACTGGGGATGAATAGTATTTATCTAATGAGTAATACTATTTGTAGTCGTTCATTAACGTAATCGTCATGCATGACATATATGTGATAGTTAATGATTTGATGCATTAATATGATAATTTTTATTGTCTCATGCATCAAATCACTAAATAATGCATGTCTGCTAACATACGACAATTGAGAGACTGCAAATAACAATATTTTAAATTAATAATCAATTTTGTTTGGTCAAAATAAAATTTGTCCCAATAAATTAATTTATTATAGATAAATATAAACCTTAAAGTATCTTCAATACGATCTTTAAATAGAAGATGCTTTGTATGGTAGAATACTTCAAAATATAATTTTTAAAAAGACTCTATTTTAACTTTTATAATATCAACTAGTTTGACTCTCTAAAAATTTAAGGATCAAATTCATTGTCTATTCTTACTTTATAATAACTGCATTTGATAAGTTACAAATATCAATACTCAAATTCTTAAAATATTTTAATAATGTTTAAATTGATTAGTCACTGACTTGTATAAAAAAAAAAAATATCAAATAAAAGACGTTGAGAAATCACTTATTATTGGGTCATCCCCAATGCATGTACCAAAATAATAGATAATTTCAAAATAATAATAATAATAATAATAATAATAATAAGAAGAAGAAGAAGAAGAAGAAGAAGAAGAAGAAGAATTAAAATTTATTATATAATAAAAAAGGGACATAAATGGAAGAAAAGAAGGGCAAAACGGTAAAAAATTACTTTGCACCATTTTGGTGCAACACTTGCATTTGATAAGTTACAAATATCAATACTCAAATTCTTAAAATATTTTAATAATGTTTAAATTGATTAGTCACTGACTTGTATATAAAAAAAAAAAAATCAAATAAAAGATGTCGAGAAATCACTTATTATTGGGTGATGCCCAATGCATGTACCAAAATTTGATACGAGTTTTATGGCATTTTTGTGTAAATTTGGTATCAAACTGAAATCATCTCTAATCTAAAACGTCAAAAGTTGTAACAAATAAACGGTGTTTCGTCATTTTCTTCATTTTTTAAAATTATTAACAATTTATTTATCAAAAAAATATTTATTTATTTATTTTATTACTACATGAAATACTAAATAAATAATTACCAATAATATTGAATTCATTAATAAACTTAAAAAATATAGTACATTTAATACAAATACCACAACTTTAAATAATTGTGTTTGTTACTTTTTAAAATTTATTACTTTTATTTTAATTCATTTATTAATGATTATTGATTACATGATTAAAATCTACTAAGAAGAAGAAGAAGAAGAAGAATTAAAATTTATTATATAATAAAAAAGGGACATAAATGGAAGAAAAGAAGGGCAAAACGGTAAAAAATTACTTTGCACCATTTTGGTGCAACACTATTCATTTGTACCAAAATAGTGCAAAATATGGTCTTAGGTTGGAGAGTGTTTGTACCATTTTTTGGTGCAAAAATAGTGCAAAAACTTTTTCTTTCAATTATGCTATCATAAAGGTGGTACGTGAAGACACTTGATTGAATTTGAGGAAGACTTAGGATTCTCTTTGGAATCATCTTTTCAATTTCATCTACCATTTTGGTTGTAAAATTGAGTGAAAATTCACTTGCATTTGATTCCTAGAACAATATAAAGTCGCCTCGTAGTGGCTCATCTTCCTTTATCTTCTCATCATGAAATTGAGCGACCAAAAGTACTTTTATCTCGTTGATATTGCTACTTTGAATGTTACATGTTGCGGACAATTTTGCAAGTCTACGTATCGTACAAATAAAAACATATCGTTCTCATGAAGATTAATTAATCTATTATGTACACAAAAAATAACTAACCTATTACAGCATTCGGTGTTTTTTCTTTTCAAAAATTATTAACTTGTAAAATTTGAATTTTCAATATAATTTGTTATGAACATATAAAGGGATAGCCACATGTACAAAATTTTAAGTGTTTAGAGGAAATATTGTACGTATTAAACGACAAATATATTTGAAACTATTCACGATAAAAAGGAAAAGTTTGATTTTTACAGCTAATAAAACCATACTATGTATCATGGATTAATAAAAACAATTCTAAATAGTACACCGCCTTCTATTCTTAGCCGCGGATAGCCCTTATCACTCATTTATAGTGATTATGGATTTGAGGGCATTTTTCATCGTATTTGGGAGACTACTCAAGGATAAATTCTTCAACAGATCGAGATACAAAAACAGAATGAGAAAATCGAAGAAGCTGTCATCCAAGCGTACATCCTTTTGATCCAACAAAAGTGGATAGGACTAAGGAATAACAGCAAATCTCGCAAAAATTGAAATAAAAACAAATTTACGTTCTCTATTTGTTGCTTCCTCTTTCATATTCCTCCACTTTTCTCTGCCAACATATGAATAGTACAACATACCTTATTATAGGATGAAATAATTGAAGATGAGGTAGCTAATTTGAGATGTAGAACCCACTAACATTTCAATAACTTGATATCTTCAATCAGACGGTCTAGATTTTTGTACGAACACCCACCTTTCCGCACACTTGTCTTTGCAACGTTAGCAATGTGATCAGCCCTCGTCAAGAATTCGTCCTTCTTCAATTCCATAAGCTTCTTAACCATCCCTTCTACTATTACTCTGTCACATGTATCTTTCATGTCCAAACCAAGTTTCCAAAACTCCCCCACATACCTACTATTCACTTGCTGGTCAACATAATGTGGCCAGCATATCATGGGCTTCCCCTCCACTATACTCTCCAAAGTTGAGTTCCATCCACTATGGGTCAAAAACCCACCAATTGCTGGATGGGCCAAGACCTCCTCTTGTGGAGCCCAACTCACAATATACCCCCTCTCTTTTGTAGCTTGAGACAATTCCATAGGAATCTCAAAATCTTCGTCCAATCCAACAATCGAACCAGGCCTTCGGACCCATAAAAACCTCGTCCCACTATTCACCAAACCATGCCAAATTTCCAAGAGCTGGTCCTTGGTCATGACCGTAAGACTTCCAATGCTAACAAATAAAACAGATTTGAGGGGTTGCATATCCAGCCAGGGGATGCAACTCCTGTCTTCTTTCCAGATGCTATTTGACGTGGTTCCTGTCGCGAGTCTGGTTTTCAGGTGAGTGTGGAGTGGCCCTATGGCATAGATTTTTTGACAGATTTTGGACATTTCTGATAATATGGGTGCTTCAAGGTCCTCAAAAGTATTGAAAATCAATCCTTGGTACAAGGGAAGGTTCTTGTTCTTCTCTAGAATCGTTTGTATATGGGGATCATTAAGGTCCTTGCTGCGAAAAAAGCTAGGAAGATCACGGCGCCTCAGAAAACCTTCCATTCCTGGTGCATTAACAACTAGCTCATCCAAGTCATCTCCTGTGCCAAGCCACAGAAAACAGAGTTATCTTTGACATAATGCTTAATTTGGGTTCTGAATTCGCTTGAGGAGTAGGTAAAACTCACCTTTGAAAGGAAACTCTCCAGCTTCAATGAGTTTGGGAAGACAGAGACAATTCGCCCATAGACCACAAGGGCTAATAGTATCAAAATAAAGGAGTGGGACACCAATCTGTTTAACAGTATCAATAGCAGAGGTGACTATTCCGTCGGCTACTATGCAAGTTATTGGGTTCTCGGAGTTGGGACCATAAGGACCAGAAGTTACCATTTCCTCAAATAGTGGCACACCCACAGCTTTTATAGAATCCATCATCTCAAAAAACTCATTGCCAGTGCGGGGATTGTCTTCGGGAAGGCCATCAGGCACCGTTTCAAAACGAAAATTGGGATAGCATTGAAAATAGGATTCAATATCGGTACATTTTAGCAAACATTGTTGGATGTGTTGCGAGTTTAGGAAAGTGACTTTCAGGCCATTAAGACAGAATAGCTCTGCAAGTTTTAGCATACACTTGATTGGCCCTTGAATTGGTGAGGGAAAAATGAGTATATGAGGAGGAAATGTCGATGCTCTTTCATTATCCATCTTCGGATAATTAAATTCTGAAACCCACCCCCTTCCCCCTTTTATTTCTAATGCTCACTTCTACACTAGTTGATATATTTTCCTATATCCCTACTATATAGAACTAGTCGATGTCGCGTGCATCGCACAGGTTTTATATTTATTGTATTTTTATTATAGTAAAGATTGTGGATTTTTCAGAACTTGTTGAAGATACGAGGTATTTGGCCAAGTACATCCTTCAGTTTTGCATTATTGTAGATTCTGTGCTTCAAGTGCATTGTATTGGAGGAGTTAGGAAACACTGAAGTGAAAGATTTATTATCATCATTTCAAAAACATGCAACAGCAAACAAGAAATCTACACTTAACCAAGTTCATTGCATGTGTTGAAAAATCACTGGCATGTATAAATTAAAGGGATTTCCACTAATTTCTTAAATGCAATAACCAATCAATCTAGAAATACCTAAAAGTAGCAAACAGAGGGATTATGCCTAGCATAAGCTATAAATAAATAAAAGCCTCAAAGCGTTTCTTCCGTCCTCATCTAGAG